GAGTGTGGTTTCCTTAGCAACAGTTGTTGGATTAAACACTCTGAAGAGGAATTCACAGTCCTAATAGTTAACAGGTGAAGGATTTCTTAGCACTATCAATGAAATTAATCTCTCCCGGCCTGATTTACATACTTCAAAACATGTCCCTTCCCGGCATATTATAGAAAAAGTCTGATTACAACTGTCATTTGATGATGAAAATATACAAAGAAGTAAAAAAAAGTCACTTTTTATTCCTGTAGTAATTTTGCCACAACAAGGAAGTCTTTGACAAAGTTTACAAACTGCTCTAACTTTATTGCCTTAACTAGTAATTTATTGAACAGAGCTCCGTAGTGAGGCCATTATAAATTCCTATAATAAACAGAACATTAAATAAATCTTGTTTGCAGTAAAAACTGATGGCGAATAAAAACAAATGACCCCGTAATTAAGCTGTTAAAGTAAATTACAGCTAAACTTCCCAACCCGCTGCCCACTATGACAGAGTATCTTTTAATAGTTTACAAGGAGCTCCTGTAGACTAGCTGCGTCAGGTAGTGGTTATAGGCTTGAATCTAACATGGTTCTTAAATGTTGGTGTTCTGATTGCAACACTTACTTTATGCTGAGTAATTTATCCTGCCTTTTCTTCTGGAGTGTCTCATGATTGCTTGCGTGGGAGGGTTTTTTTCTTGCAGCCCAATAATAGCTAAATTCTTACCAAATACCTAGCTATATAAACCTATAAAACATTTTTTTTTTTACTTTTTATTCCTATGGATTTTAGTAGACTTGTACACAAATCCCTTTCAGTTGAGTCAAACGAATCAAATGCTTGTCACTCTATGGATGAACTAATTGATTTGTTAAGCAAATTAGTTTATCCATAGTTTGACGGAGTCTAGTTTTTGGTAGTCTTTTATCACTTTTTATATGCATTTCTGATTTGCCTGATGGCTGCACAATCCATTTTTTTCAGATGTATCTTTGGCAACCAATTAATCCATTCCACGCCCAAATTAACTACAGACATTTTTACTTTCATGCATTTTACAGTATAAAATCTAGTCCATAAAGCCTCACTCGCCGTCTAGTTATGATTACTAGCCAGTAAAGGGATTGGTTTGTCTGCCAAAGGACACTAGTCGCTGATAAAATGCCAGTGAATCTGCTAAAAATGTAAGTTCATCCCATGTTTTCAAACAGTACAGGAAGTTTCAATGGGTTCACACAGGGAGGAGGAGTCAATTGACCATTTTGCTGTTTCCATTACATTAGCAGTCCAGAGGTTGATAATGTTTGCTATAGCAGTTTTAAATACCTTTTATTCTAGAAATATCTAATTTAACTGTATTGTAGGTGTTATGTTCAAATGCAGATTGATTTTTTTTTTTTAATGTTGTTGCCAGTTATAGTAAGATGCATTTGGCTGTGACAATATTTTTCCAAAATTTCTGAAAGTGCCCAACAATGAAAATGTTTCTGAATTGAAAAAAACAAACTTCCAATTTATTCCAACATGCTAAAAAAAAATGAATATGACATTTAAAACTCTGTTAGCTCTCAGTTCAGAGATATAGCCCATTTATGATGATGTAGGCAAGGCCAGATTTCCCTTTAGGCAGAGTAGGCACCTGTCTACAGGATCATGTCCACTAGGAGGAGCCTGCTTTCAGCACATATTTTGTAGATTTTTGGAGCTTGGGTGGGCTGGTAAGGAGATAAGTACCAAGAGCCTTGGCCTGTGTCCTCTGTAGTCCAGTCAGCCACCCATCCTTCATAGGAGAGCTACAAGAATAGTTTTAAAGAGTGTAATACTCAGTGCTGTCCCAACTTTTCCATTATCTATGTGTTCATTGTCTGTGTGTGTGGCTGGTCAGAAGCAGGAAGAGATCATTTCCCACCTCCCCACTAACAGCCTCACACAGCAAATGCCTTGCAGGAGGAACAGGGACAGCACTGAATGATGCACACTGTATATCATAGGACAGCACTGAGTGATGCACACTGTATAACAGTTACTGCTGTTCTACTACTAATCATAGGAGACTGGCTGTACTACAGAACACATAGATGAGTGAGTACTTTGCAAATAACACTTCAAACTCCTCTTGCCCTAAGTAGCCTTCTTACAAAACCTACATTTAACCCATCTGTGATGTCCAGTTAACACATTTTATCAGTTTCCTCTATTTTGGAGTGGGAGGCAGGGGGGCGCTTTAGTATTCTGTACCTACATGTATAAATCTGGCCCTGTATGTAGGGTTTGGGTATCGAATAAAGGGTGTGTTAAACCTGCATACAGGAATGATAAGTCACTGTTGGCCTTGCTTTGTTTATGTATGTGTAGCTTGTATGAAGTGAAGGTTATGGTTAGAGTGTTGTACCTTTCATTGTTTTGTGGTTTTACTTTATGTTAAAAGCCAAGATGCTACGTATATGTGTTAACATTACTGACAATTATTGTTTGGTGTGTGGTGATGTGACATTTTCTACTCCGAAACAACCAATTCCTCGACTTGTGAAGATAGCCAACCTATCAAAATAATTTTGGCGTACAGGATCAGGACAATCCTGGGTACCTCATATTTACTGCAATACATGTTCTGTGAATTTATGTGGCTGGTTAAATAAAAAAATAAAAAAGTTGTTATTATTATTATTATTATTTATAAAGCACCAACAAGTTTCGTAGTGCTGTACAACGGGTGGGCTAGCAGACATGTATTCGTAACCAGACAAGTTGGACGCACAGGAATAGAGGGATTGAGGGCCCTGCTCAATGAGCTTACATGCTAGAGGGAGTGGGGTAAAGTGACACAAAAGGTAAGGATAGGGTAAAAAAGTAGGTTGCTAGGATAGTATATTGAGGGCTTAGTGTTTTGTTTTGATGACAGTTTCAGGAGAGGAATCAGGGTGCGGGGAGGGAAAACTGTTCACAGTTTAATTGATATGCGTACTAAAGAAGTAAGTTTTCAATGATATTTGAAGGAGTGCAAATTGGGTTAAAGTCTAACAGAGAGGGGAAGGTTGTTCCATGGGAAAGTTGCAGCCCTTGTGAAGTCTTTAAGGTGCGCATCAGAGGTTGGTGTACAAACAGAGGTTAGACGTAGATCTCCGACAGAGCGTAGGGGCCTAGACTGAACATATTTGTTTATTAATGAGTATAGGTAGATTGGAGCAGTATTGTGTAGCGATTTATAAGCAAGTATCAGGATCTTAAATTGATTGCTAAATCTTTTGGGAAGCCAATGTAAGGACTGACTAAGGGGGAGGCATGGGAGGTGCGGGCGGACAGGAAGATGAGCCTCGCCGCCGCATTCATTATAGACTTATCGGGGCAAGTTGGGAACACATAAGACCACTGAGAAACGGATTACAGTAGTCAAGGTGAGAGATTACAGCGGCATGGACAAGCACCTTTGCCGCATCAGACGTTAAATAGGGTCGGATGCGCGCAATGTTTTTGAGATTGAAGCGATAGGATTTGGCGATTAATTAAACATGAGGGTCAGAGTCAAAGAGAACACCTAGGCAGCGAGCCTTAGAGGTAGAGCGGATGGTAGCGCCATTGATTTGGAGGGACACAGACAAGGGAGTAGCAACACTTGAGGGAGGGAATACCAGAAGTTCTGTTTTGGACAGGTTCAGTTTTAGGAAATGAGCAGCCATCCAGTTGGAAATAGCACAGAGGCAGTTAGAGAGGGCTTTTGCCATCCCGATGATGATATTTGCTTCCATATTGTAAAATGGAAATAAACTGTGTTGCCTGCTGTGTGCTGAATGCAAGGCACAATGCACAATACTGGAGGCTATTCATAGACTCCTCAAAGCTTAGTTTAAAAGCTGTGTTGCAGCATAATGGCAATTATTTTCCTTAAAAAAACTAAATCTCAAAAATAGAGCTAATAAAAAAATTCTGAGGTCATATTAATTTTTCTTGACCCAAAATTAGTAAAGTATGGCAATTTTTAGTAATGAAACAATTAACAATGTTTTGTTTTGTTTGTTTGTTTTTTGTTGAACAGTCTAATTATTGTTTCCATTATATCTGTATTTTAAATAGGCAAAACAGTTTGTTTTTTTTTTGTGTTTTTTTTTATAGGACAATTGTTTTAGGCCATAGTTAGGAGGCTGGGAGTTACTGAATATGTACAGGTGAGTTTGACCTTTCAAGTGTATAATTCTGTTTAATTGCATATTACAATTAATTTAGAATACCCTAATTTTCATATATTTATTGCAATCTGAATATAGATTCGTATTACTATATTGTATTACAGTTCTATGATACACTCAAAGAAACACTTCAACTGACGGAAAAAGGACAGAAAAGAAATGGAAACAGGGATTTTGCAAAGACCTTCTGTTCCTCCTAACTAATGTCACTTAAAAAATATGTTTCCACATTTCTGTCTATTCCTTTGTGTTGTGTGTGTAGTTGAAGGTTAACAATGTTGCCTCTACTCAATGATATATTCGTCATGGAAGGGACTACTACTTATCTAAACGGGGTAGTATAGGTGCATGCTCTTTATCAGGTCTTGATGAACATTTAGTATGTCAAACTCAAATGATGATCAGATTGTAATTTTTGGAGAGCTTGGCAATACTAATAAGACCCTGGAGTGCTTTTTTATTTTGGTGCACTTGCACTATATGGCAGGTTATTGAGTGCAAGATATAAGTCTATATCGGTCTGTCTGTCTGTCTGTCTGTCTGTCTATCTATCTATCTATCTATCTATCTATCTCAACTGTGTAAATTACACCCTGTTCTAATCCATCTGCTTTAAACATGCCCTTTTGGCACTTGATCTACTTGTTATTTATTAATAAGCTTTTGAATGGAGCACATTTGCCTGTTGCCAATGAGTGCATTAGTGTATATGCTCCAGAACAATATTCACTAAGCCACAACATAGTCGATAATTAAATCTAAATGGATGACTTGAGGCAAACATAGCTGATATGGAAACATTCTCAATCTCGGCTATATTTTTTTTGCCATTTGGATTAAATTTGTTAAAAATTCAGATGTTAGTGAATAACCATATCAGTTGCATGTATGTCTTCATTTCTAAATCTCCTCTGATTTCCAAATTCAGGGACTTTAATAGAGCCTGTCCCTCTGTTCTTGTGGACCTAGCATTTCCTGCATCTCATATTTGTAAGGTCACTTGACAAATATACACACAGCTAATCTTATCTGATGTTGCTGACAACAGAAATGATAATTTGGGTTTGTAGCTATGATACAGCAGAATACACATAACCTACAGTTGCTTGAAGTGGTCCACTTAGCACAAAGAATCCCATGTGTAAAGACATTTGGAGATTACAGACAACCGGCCCTAATTAAACACAGATTGTTCTTTTGTTGTGACTTCCAATAGAGGCCTGCTTTTAAAATGTACTTAGAAAAAATTGTTGTCCATCACACAAACCATCCCAAAAAAATAAAAAGATGAACGAGCCTTTTATGCTTTGCATTTGTTTACAGAGATATTGCCATGGAGATTAACAACATCTTGGCTGTTATAAAAGCAGAAAAGTAAAGTTCATGTTGTTTCAAAGAAAAATGAAGGGTTATTGGAATTGCTCTTCAAATTTGCCTTTTACAACATTAACTCTCAAATGATTTGTTGGTTTTTTTTTCTCCTCTAAATATCCGGAAGGAAAAATGTGAAGGTTAATAAATCACTAGCAAATCCGTTCTTAATAGCCTATTGAGGCAACTGCCGTCCAATGTTTCTTGAAGTGGGATGCAGGTTTTACTATTTTTTCCTGTGCTAGAGTATCAACCACTGAAAACGCAAAGATTTAGTATATTAAACCATGTTAATACCAAAAACGACGCTCACCGCAGATGTTCGTGTGCAGTATTTACTATGATGCTCAGCTTGTTGAAAGTATGTTCTGTTCCAGATATGTTAAGTTGAGATTAGTTGTAAAAATATATAGCGTGGTTTTTGGTGTCAAAGTTAGCTTATCATTGGTATTTAGAAGAAATAACCAGCTTTTTTACAGATCCTTATAGGCAGCCGCTCAGTGTCAATGTCCTAAATCCCCTATCCTTGTCCTTACGGGTCTTTACGTCCACAGAGTCCATGTGTCCACTATTGGTTCATTGGAAACCAGTCCATGAATGTCACATTGCCATTGTGTGGAAGCATGTAATGTGAGTGTCTACTGACAACACATAACTCTTTCTCCCCTGTATCACAGCATAATGTCTTAAAGTTAATCAGAATTCAGGTTATCGGTGAGGGCTTGTCCATCATGGGCCACGTGAGGCAGAACCTCCAGTTTGTGTTAGAAGAACAAAAATAATTAAATCTGTTTGAGTGGTAAAGACTAATGGTAAGTGTGTGTTGTAAATAATAACAACAACAAAAAAAGTATTTAACCAGGAACAGTACATTTACATTACTCTGGTTTCCAAGTTCATCCTGGCGACATAGGTGTGCGCAGCCTATTGCATTTGGGTGTGCACCCTAAAGCACAAACACACGCCGCGTGTGTGTGTGTGTGTGTGGATATATCTATAGATATATCCACACACACAAACACTGCTGTGTGTGCTGTTAGTGTGATGTGTGTGTGAGGGTGCGGTTAGTGTGATGTGAGGGTGTTTGTGTGTGTGTGTGTTTGTGACTGTGCTGTTTGTGTGTGTGTATGTTTGTCCTGTGAGGGTGCTGTTTGTGTGAGTGTCGTGTATTTGTGAGGGTGCTGTTTGTGTGTGTGTGTGTGTGTTTGTGAGGGTGCTGTTAGTGTTCTGTGTGTGAGGGTGTTGCATTTTTTTTAAGGGTGCTGTGTGTGTTTGTGAGGGTGCGGTTAGTGTACTGTGTGTGTGAGCTGTATATGTGTGTAGGTGCTGTATGTGTGTGCTGTATGTTTGGAGGGATTTGGCAGATTAGTAAATCCTTGCTGCCATGTGCCATCCCTGGTGGTCCAATGGAGAGTGAACTCTAGCCTGCAGGGCTAGAGTTAACTCTCGCAAGATCTGAGCATTGCCGCAGCAACACTCAGATATAGCGAGAGGAACCTGGCGGAGCTTCTGTCTAGAGCTCCCTGGGTCCTCTCCTGCCTCCCTCCATGCTGCTGTGGGCCGGTGAGGTAGATCTTTGGTCTCCCCGCCGGCCCATGGAGGCTTAGAGCAGAGCCGGCACTCAGATAGCGCCGGCTCTGCGTGTGTGTGTGTGTGTGTATATATATATATATATATATATATATATATATATATATATATATATATATATATATACGTACACACACACATACACTCACTGACACACAGACTCACACAGACACACACTCACACAGACACACACTCACTGACACACTCACACACACAGACACTCACACACAAAAACAAATTATTATATTTTCATTTAAAAAAATGTCCACCCAGCCTCCTACCTGGAGTGCTGGCGTGGACTTTTCCCTGGGGTCCAGTGGGGCGGGCGCCTTTCTGCAGCTCAGCCGCGGCGAGGGAGCTCTCTGCTGTCTGCTCCCTCTCGCCGTGCGGGTTGTCTGCTGTGGCTGGGAGCCGGAATATGACGTCATATTCCGGCTCCCGGCATCAGCGCGCGGCGAGAGGGAGCGGAGAGCAGACAGCAGAGAGCTCCCTCGCCGCGGCTGAGCTGCAGAAAGGGCGGGGAATCCATCACCTCTTGCCCCCCCCCAGGGGCAAGAGGTGAGACGGGGGGCGCTGAGTGCCTGCAGGAACAGCGTTCCTGCTCAAAAAAGTGCAGGAACGCTGTTCCTGCAGGACTCAAACCATAGGCGTGCGCACGGGATTAGGGTGTGCCCAGGCACACCCGGCACACCCCGTGCGCACGCCTATGCCTGGCGATGTTACTGTTGCCCAACATTTAGGGGATGTTACTATAATTTTATGTATATCATAATTCTATCAGCAGTTTCCTCCTCAATTACTAATGACTGGATCTATAGAATGGCTGAACAGCTGATCATGTGATGGGCAATTGTAGGTATAATACACATTGCTAAATTGTATTTCTTTAAACTGCAACTGTTTCTTTAACTAATAACATTTTACCTATTTACAGTACACAACATGTTTACTCCATCTTTTCTTAGATTAATGCAATAACAATTCAAGGCTTTGCCTATGTCAACCTAACGTCTAGTCCAAATACAGATTAAAGATGTCTAGGTTATGACATTAGACTGATAAGGGTGTTTTTCTTTTATTTTTATATATGAACTGCTTTTAACCCTAAGATGAATTAACCCATACATTACCAGTAGTAATTAGAAATGCTATACTATATATACATGCATGATCAATGCTAGGTAAAGACTTACTGACCGACTCTGGAGGTGACATACTGAGAGATTACCTGTATAATGGGAGGCTTCTAAGAGCTTCCTATGAAAGAATTTCCACCCCTTAAGCCAGTAGAAAAGCTGGGAGCTTCATCTAGTGCAGCTCAGGTAAAGAGCCAGACCATTTTAAAATGGTTTACTACCTACAATGGAAGGGGCACCAGGGCACATCTGGCACCATAACAACTTTAGCAGTAGACTATGGTGTTTGAATATAGAACATGGAAATTAATGGTATCTTTATATGATCTTGGCTATCACTAGAACAGGGGTTCTCAACCCAGTCCTCAAGGACCCCCTACCAGTCCTGGATTTAGGGATTACCTGGGTGTGTCTAAGGTGTTTAGAAAAAGAAAAAAAAAACACCATAGAATCTTGGGTAATCCCTAAATCCTGGACTGGTAGGGGGTCCTTGAGGTTGAGAACCCCCTACACTAAAACATGTTGACACTGGTTACATTTTGTAACTTTTCATTTAGAAGTTATAATTTAGCTGGAGTATATATTTCTTTGTAAATATTATTTCATCTGATAAATATTAATTTTGAAAATAAATAAATACATAAAAAAAATTATTGGGTACACACTCTAATTACATGTTCTGCTCATGTTTAGGAAGTTGGGTGAGAGTAAACACACACATTGCTGCCAAGTTCTGCATTTAAAATAGTACTTATATAATAAAGGGTGAACTTGTCTTAAACTGTTCTCTTTAACTATTCAGACATTTCTATGCCAAATCAGGGATGAATTGGGAGGATTGTTAAAACGAGAGACAAAATCTTGTTGGGTTGTACAGTTTCTAGAAATTGTGGGGCATGAGCAATTTACTTATATATATGACCTGAGGTTCCGCATACGGCTACTAGGGTGCATATTTTTAATGCATCTCTTTGTCTGCTACACATCATACCTTGCATCATAAGGGCTTAAAGTACTTCTTTACTTACAAACACTTCTATCATAAGTTCAACAGGCAGCAATTTTAACATTGTCAATTAGTGGTGTGTTTTCCAGTACTTTGATGTATAAACACAAGCTTCTCCCTAGATACGTACAGGATGGTGATCAAATATTGTGCCTTGTAACAGACAGGCCCAGCCAAATCAATGGGTCTTTTCTCCTTTAGGCAACTGTTTCTGCGGATTTAAATCTAGGAGCCAGTAAGGAAGGGGGGCATGGGAGGGTGTAATGGGAAATGGTTTTTGGCAAGAGAAGCAGCATTAAAGTAATTGAAAGGACTTTAAAATGGGTACAAATGCACTTCTGTTAGTGGAAATTGTAATGAAAATTGGCTGGCATTAAAGTGTCCTTTTTGGTAATAGCATTTCAGTATCCATAAAATAGCACTGTTCTCATTACTTGGTCTACAAAACATTAAACAGGTTAAATTCAGCCACAACACAGTATTCCTTCTATTAACCCTTTATTAAAGGACCTTTGCATATTACATTATAAAAATGAAATTACTTTTTTTAGAGTAAGCATATATATAAATTGCAGACATAAAAAGTATTACTTCATCACAGTTACAGTTTCTGGCCAAAGAGAATCATGCTATGAATTATAATACATACAGCCACTTTTAATCAACATACCTCCCAGGATTGCAAGGAATGCAGGCAGGGGACTGGCTAGCCAGTGGCATAGGGTACTAGCCAGCAGAAAGTGCTGTCAAAATAATTGGGTGCCTCAGGATTCCTTGGCTGGTAAGGGTCTATGTATCTGGAGTGTCTCAATTGTGAGGAGCCAAGGACAAGCTATCAGTAAGACCCACAGTTTAAATGCTCTTTTTCAAAATGATGTACAGTGTACAACAGTTGCCACCAAGTGCAGAAATGCCCAAGACCTATATTTTATCATATTTAATTATTATAGGCACCCAGACCAGTAGAGGCGCTTCTAGG